GCTAACATACCCTCAGATCTCCAGAGATGTTAGCTCCTGCCAGGATGCCCGTAGCAGATGGAAAGAAAATGGAGAACATGCCGAAAAAGGTGCCCTCTGGGCCACGCCAGTTCGGGACAAAATTAGTAGCAAAGATAGCAGCTGTTAAAGATGAAATACTGAATTTAGAAAAGAATTAGACTTTTATTAAAATATAATATTTCATTTTAAGTTCTATATTATGCAGATGAGTCCTCCTCTAAGCTGATTGTGGCTAAAACGTATATCCTGTCCTTTGATTATTGGAAAGTTGAAACCTGTAAAACTTTGCATGGGAATCCAACATGCACACTAGAACTTATGACCATCAAACATGAGTTTAAAAAAAGGAAACAGTTACCTTTGTAGCTAAAGAATCCTTTGGCTTGTTTCTCCAATGAAGGAGGGATAATGGTTCCCACAATATAACTGGCAAATGATACCATGATGACGAGAAAAAACAAAATCTGGGCCTGAGGAAGACACATTACAAGGTAATGGAAGTTCACAATGCAGACATGCATTTAAGGTAAATATTCCCCAAGAGGGTTTGTTGATTAAAACTTTTCCAAATGGATTATTTATCTTCTCTAAAAGCTAAGGTAAATTGTGCATCTAGTTGAGTTACGAAACATAATTCACACAATTCAACACCTTTTACTGTAGCCAATAAAGCTACATCCTACATCCTACAAAAAAAATGTTAGAACTGTAAATTTATAGTCTTTTTTACTATTTTTCAAGGCTGCACTTTTAAAAAATATGAAATTGTCCAGAGAGCTGTTCCAAATGAAATTTCTTTTTGTTTTACACTTGTGTAAACAAAACGACAAATAAAATCTGTCTAAGTCTATCCACAGAAACAACTGCAATGTATACATAACCAAACTAAAAGATTAATTACTCGCCAAAGTGGTATAATAAAAGCCAAAATAGAAAGGATAAATAATAAAAGGACTTTCAGGGATTAGAAAAGTTAATGATATAAACACACCATGGTTTAAATGTACACATCTTGTAATTACGAACTGCTTAACAGTGCTATCATGAGTTTGGATGGTAAAAATTCATTTTCCCGAAAAGTCTTAAGTCTCTAATGTGATTTTCCAATCCAGGTCAAGTTTCTTTTAAACCCAACTCAACTTTATTGATAAAGCCCTTTAAAACAACCACAGGTGCCACAAAGTGCTGTACATATCAGGTTAAGTTAAAATTGTATAAAAACAACATAGAAATTTAGAGGAAATATATAATAAAATGAATTAAAACAAATAAAATCAAATAAAAATAATAAGACAAAATCAAGTCTAAGTCAAGCATTACCATTAAGGTTAGAGTACATATGTTGTTGAAATACGGCACAAAGTCTCAGCAGCATCAGATTTTCTGTGAAAAACCAAATGAATTTCTTCCCATTTATTCTATCTATCAATTAATACGTTCATTATTTTTTACGGTATTATAAGCGTTACAGTACCCTAGACGTCTTAAGCTTGGAACCTTTTGCAACAGTTAAACTGACAACAAGAGTCCACTAAGTGGGTTTATTGGTGCTCTGTTTAGTAGGCAGAGTCCTGGCCAATAGCTTACAATCTTTTTAGATGAATCTAAAAACCATAATTGCTGCAATAAACAGATGCACAGTTTATAAAGCAACGACTTATTACATTTTTATACTTTTCTTTTCATTGCTAGCTATGCTACAGGCCTAACTCTTACTGCTTACTGCTGCTTCAAGTTCCTATAAAATGTCTTTTAATTGTTACAGTCCCAACAGCTATCTTGATTAAGTATTATGAATTCTTGATACTTTTTTCTTTGCAGAAGTATACAGAATACACGGTCCTTTTAGACAGTATTTAAGGTAATTACGGAAATCTGTTTCAATTATTGGTGATATTTTTAAGATCTTATTGATGGATGGATATAAGTTTTGCAAACTTTTTTTCTTTTTACCTCTGGATCCAGACCCAGAAAGGTCTAAGGCCATGTCCCATATATTTATACCCATCAAAGCATTTTATTTGTAATAAATGTGAAAAATAATAGATTTTTTTGTTTTACTGCTTAGACTGTGCTAAAACCGTTAAATTTTAATGACAGAGGAGCTTATAGTGTTGCCTACAGAATGTAGTCAATGTCGTTAAACAGTTTGTAAGGACATATTGAAATCCAGCCTTTGTTTATTCTTTTATGAAAATTTAAATTAATCCAACCTTTGATTCCCAAGCCATGCCAGCCATTGAAATCCCCAGCAGACATGTTACGGTGATGATCCCGATAATGCGGATGTCATTGGTTCGGTCCACCATGACAGCTCCATGTTCCTGAGGAAAGGTTACATGCAAATAGTCACGATTTACTTTAGTTGATCATTAAAAAGCCTGATTTGAACCTGCATGTGGAGAAAGCTCCTCACCCGCATGAGGTCTACAACGGTCTCAGCAAAGCCCACAGTGTGCATAGCAACAGCTACAGCGTTGGCAAAGGCAAAGATCAGACCAATAGAGCCACCCAGCTCTGGACCAAGGCTTCGACTTATCAGGAAGTAGGTACCACCTGGGAATAATGGAAGCACTCAGAGCTGGTTAGAAGGTTGTGACAGTTTAGCTTTTTAATTCAAACAACTTGTTCTTTAGGAAACAGCCTAGACAAACCTCCTTTGACTTTTCCGTTGGTGGCTATGGCTGATGTCGAGAGCCCTGTGATTCCAGTTATCATAGACGACACCAAAATGATAACCCATGTCAGACCTGTAAAACATAGGAAGCAGTCTGAGCAATTTTTAATGCATCCACTGACAGAACATCTTAAAATGGGTTTGGTTTGGGGGTAAATTTCTCTTATTTCATATATTAATTTATGCTATTTACTCACTATAAAAGTTTTCAATCAGTCTGTTTCACCTGCAAAGCCACACCATTCTCCTGCATGAGGGTGTTTGTAGACCAGACATAGCTTCTTCCCAGAACAAGCCAGATTCTTTCTCAAGGTTTATTCATAACATGTTACTGTTTAACCAAAGTGTCTGTAATTAGTTTTGACTCTGACTACTTTTCCATTGTTTTAAGTAAGGGGGGAAACACGTTGCCCAGGCAGAACAGGGCTGATTACTGTGCAAATGGCTGTATGATGAACTGTTCTCTCTTTGCAAAGATATGAAAATAAAGTGCCGACTGAGTGAAATCCATCAATCTCTGTTTCTTTAACTAGGGTGAATAGTTGAATACTTTTTTCCTACTACACTTCTCAGGCTCAAATCTACTCTACATACTGAGAACCAAACATTGAGAAGTTCCACTAATCTGGAATAAACTCCCAGAAAACTCAAAAAAAGCTATAAGATGCTTTAAATCAATGTTAAAAACATCTTTGTTTAGGGTGGCCTTTGACTCTGCCCTCTAAATATATATATTTTTCAATAATTGTAATTTTTACATCATCCTTTGATTTTAATTATTCACTTTTATTCTCCTTATGCATGTTCCCTCTATGCCACTGCAAGGTATTTATCTTTTTTTCTCCTCATGTACAGCATTTTGAATTGTCTTGCCTCTGAAGTGTGCTGCAACCAATAAACCTTCATTTGCAACAATTTATTTTTATCAGGTCATAGCTGACTGAATTTATACGATACCAGGATTTCTCTGCATGTGTTTTATTATATTGTGCTTAGAATATATATTGATACCGATAACAAAACGGGCATAATACGTTTATTTTATTTTTTTTACACATACCGATACCAGCCTGAGCTGTGATCCAGGAAAGCCTCAGGTACAAGATCACCCCCCAGATGTTCAGCATGCAACGAATCTGTATATAAAACAAGAGGGATTTTTACTACTGTGAAGGAGGAGTAAGATTTTAATAAGTTTAATTATACTTCTGGAATCAGTGATTAAGTTAATAAACTGTTAAAAAAAATAGTGCATGGCTCTAATTCAGAAACATGTAGTTGAAATAGACCAATTAGATATTTGAAACCACACTGAGAAACAACAAAAACTCTGAGAAGCATTGGAAAAATCAGTAACTAAACAATGAGGTAGATTCTATGTAACTGCAGCGTGATCAGGTCATGGATCTGTATGCTTGTAATGATGGCCTGAGGGAGTAGAGCTCAATCGAGCGTGGAAATAAGTCACCAACGGTTTTCTTAGTGCACTCTTGAAAATTGTAGAAGTAAAACCCTTTAGGTCTGTCTTACTGAATGCAGATATTTCTATTGATAAGGGAAAAAATGAAAAAAAAAAATGGAAATAAAACTGTAAACTTTTTATTTTCTTATCTCAACTATTGCCAATTAGACTCAATATAAAATACATGTAAAGATAGAATAATGAAATCAATCGTTTTAAATATCGAGATATTTTGTTATTATATCTCTGAAAGCTACAAAACTGAAAAGCCATTTCTCAAGGGACCTTGTAATGACCTTTTTATGTAAATAGGTTTAAACATGGAACTTTTTCAAAAAGGCAGGACACCAGTGCTCAAGGACAGACCCACCATATGCATAATGCTTTAATCCAGTGACAAACATAGTTAAAGTTTAAATCTTTATTTTTGCATAAACTTCCTTGAAGAGAGGAGAGAAAAAGACAAAAAGTGACACATCATCTACCCAGCCTTTTGATGTTGCTTCAGAGTTTAGGCAGCTTATCTGCTTTAAGATGCAGCCACCGGACAAATCTTTACAATAAAGTTACTGAGTGCTACTTTTTTACAAGACGCTACATAGTAAATCCCATCTGGAAAATATTTTATAGGGTACTTGGTATCAACACTTGTTCATACCAAGTAAGGACGCCTGCTGATGCAACTGTAGCTTCTCGGTACATAACAAATTTTAATGAGAATAGAACAGAAATAACCTTTATTGTCCCTTCTTGGGGGAAAAAACCTGATGTGCCATTTTACAAGTGACAGGAAAAACAAAATCAAAGGGAGAAGATTTCAGTTAAGGCAAAAGATAAAAAAAATAAAAAATAAGACACTGTGTTTTGATCAAAGATTTACTCATATATATATAAAAAAAGAAAAGTGCCACTGAGTCTGATAATCATGAATGATGAAAATGATGATTGTGGATATAAAAACAGCCAACAATTTACAAGAAAATGGAAATACACTGTGCAAATAAGAGAGGGGATGTTAACCCTTTTAGAAAGCCATAAAACATTTCCACAGCCTTGGCTGTTTCACAGGTTATAAAAACAATTAGGATGTATTGTTTGGCTGAAAATTTCACATTGTGAAGTAGAAATCACAGAGTGAAAGGGCACCAGAAAATTAAGCACAACCATCAGTTTTGCACATCTTTTTTGTAATGTTTTACAAAGATATCTTTTTTCACAGCTCCATTTTTCTTGTTTTATTCTTACTGGTTTGATATAAGCGTTTTATGCCCATTGGAACCTTTCAGATGCACACCTCTGTATGAAATTTATCATAAACACCCATCACTGATTTTGTCCTCTGTTTTTCTGTACCTACCATCACCCCCTGCACCCAGCCGAAGCGGGTAGGTTCAGCTGGTGGTTCCTTCGGCTCCTCTTCATCTTCCTCAGACGTGTCTCCTGTCTGTCCAGCATTCATCTCCTCATACATGGGAGGTTGGGAGTCGTCCTAGTCAAATTAAACTTGAAGTTACATTGATAGACATATAGGAATGTTTATTTCAGGAAAGAAATCTAGAAAAGTTTAACAGATGGTAGGATAAAGGCAACAATCATACAATCCACTTGCTTTAAGTGTTTTTTAGAAGTGGCGATTGAATTAAGCATATTTCCATCTCCCCTATTAAATCCTATCCTATATCCCTTTCTAAGTCCTTTACTCCCTAAACAATTTCTAGCTTCATATATAGTTACTAAGGAGAACCGTATGGCATAAACCATGATGTATTATGTTATAATTGACAAAGCAAATCTGTTTGCCTTTTGTCAGGTTCCAGCACATCAATTCCTGGAGCTATATTGGCAAAATAGAATGAGTAGGAAGTGGTTGAATCAAAAGAACAGCAAAAACTATCTGGAATTTAAGAATCAATAGAAATCAACAATCTGAAAAATATATATTAAAGGGGATTATAAACTCCCCCCCAATTTAAATGGTTTTTAACTATTGGAGATTTTTAAAGGTAGATTCCTTACCTCAGGATTGCCATGCAGCTGGATCAGAGACGGCCTGAAGCGCCTCCTTCGACCCCATGCCTGGGTGTTGGCGTAGAAATCATAGTGTGGAGGGGCATCTAGGGTTTCGTAGCCAGTTAGAGCACCAGATGCACGGGATGCTACACTGCTGCCATCACTGTAGCTCTGATAATAATCAGACTCAACAAACCCCCCAGAGGATGCTTTACCATTCAGTACTGACAATGGAAGGTTAGGTCTATATGCAGACAGGTTAACATTGTCATTGGCAGCTGGAAGCTCCATTTTAAATGTCTTAAAGATCTTTTCTTCTGAGCAGTGTAGGTAAAGGAGTTTTCCCTTCACATTCAGCAGTCAGTAAGTCAATGAAGGTGTTTCTGGAGTCTAAGCTCAATGAGGAAGGCTTTATTACAAGGGCTGGGTTTAAAAGTGACCTCAAAGTGGCAATGCAGGAAGAGCCTGAGGCCATATAAGATGTTCACCTGCTCAATGAAAAGTCAAACAAGACTCATTACAGGAATTATTAAACCTGACAAAGTTTCACATTGAAGGGGTCAGCCAAGAAATCTTGCAAGATTTTTATTCCATGTTTTCCATTCCTTGTTAAACCGTCAGTTATTAATGATTAATCTGTGTAATGTTTTTTTTTTGGCCAGAATGTTCATTGTAAAGAGCATAATTACACTCGCCCTGACCAAGCTGTGTAATAACCTTGATTAATCCCAAACAAGGTTAGAGTACAAGTTACTAATAATCATGACTGACAACATGGTGTGCCATCTGGGGCTGAGATCTATAATACATTATTATCTTCTCCTTATTTTAGAGGAAGTATTAGAAATCAGAAAATAAAAATTAAAAACACATATTTTACAATTGTACTCTCAACGCTAAAATACACACATATATATATATATATATATATATATATATATATGATAATTTGAACAAAACTATAGACTTTGTTTTGCTTCGTGAAAAAAATAACTGAAATATGTATGAAAAAAATAACTTATTAAAGGATTGTATGTTTAAGAAGATAAAAAAGGACATATTTCATACTTTGTGGGAAGCTGTACCCTAGAATAAGCTCTTTGGCAATTTGAAGGTTGTCAGTCCTATTGTAGCCTTCAAAATCTACGCTTCCAATGCCCTCAATATTGAACGTCCTGGCTCAGGGATGGAGTATTTAGATTTTAAAAAAAGTGTGTGTGTCATTTTTATTCCCCAGTCCCACTGAAGGCAAATGGGTCCCAAATGTTTCATATTGGGGGGTCTAATCATCAGGTCAGATTGTCTAAAGCAAGAGAAAACACTTAGATCTGACCCATGTCGGACTTTTTCCAAGTCACATTTTAGCTACATTCATATATGTATCTGAATTCAACTTGTATCTAATCCCCTACCAATCCCAACAACCAAGGTGGATTAGATTAGACCTCAACATCATTTTCCATCACAGCTTTGTGCTGCCCAGAGTGAGAGACTGCAAAACAGATGGGGGGCTGGAAGAGTACAGCAAACTGGAGAGACGGGGAGATGTTACAAATTGTTGAAACTTGTTTCAAGCCTAATTGGAAAGCTAAAAAGAACCATCTGAAGGGTCCAATTTTTATTTCATTTTTAACAGTGTCCTGTCTGGCGATGTGGCAATAACTGTCTTTTTGCCAAAAAAAGCCCAACAGATTTTTTACTCATGCATTTCCCACACAACACTCACTGAGCAGCAATGACTGCTGTTGCGCACTTACATGTACCAACCACCCACTTTTATAGGTTTACCTTTGTGCTGCCTGTGACTACGCTCTTATGAGCGTGGTGGGACAGTTTCGATCCGCAAACTATTCATATTAAAGTGAGATGGAGCCTACATTTTGAAATTATTTGGAATGAACGCACCTATACCCAGAAAAAGATTACTGAAAAAAATCCAACTTAAGAATCAGCTTTCGCCCTTTTACTCATTTAGGGAGAGACCAAATGTTACCCCTGTCAGAATAAAGACATCTTTGAGTAATCTTACTTGCCATGCATTAAGCAGATGACAGGTTTGATTATTTTTTTGGGAGGAAATTAAATACATTTTCTTCAAATGCCATTGTCTGAAAATCTACACTCTTTTTGCTTTCTTTTCTTCCCTTGATTCATTTTTTATTTCAAAAGATAAAAACAGAGATTGCGGTCATTTACATATGGCAAAACATTTCCTATTATCTATTAAAAAGCATTTTTGTAAAAAGTTACATTGTAACATTTGCAGCTGTGATCATGTAGCTCAGGGGTGTCAAACTGGTTCTAGAAAGGGCCGTGTGGCTGCAGGTTTTCTTTCCAGCCAAGCAATAGCACACCAGACTCCTATGATCTCATCAAATGAGTCCGATCTGAACATGACTTGATGAACTGACTGGAGTCTGGTGTGGAATTGCTTGGTTGGAAAGAAAACCTGCAGCCACACAGCCCTTTCTGGAACCAGTTTGACACCCCTGATGTAGCTGGACTGAGGGTAAAATGGCTCTTTGGATTGTTAAAGTTGGAGACCTATGAATCTCTTGTGTACCGAAACTTTTCTGTCTTTGTGGGGTCTTTCCACTGACCTTGATTTCTACCGTCTAACCGTCTTACCATAATCATAATCATTACGGGTTTATACCCAGCCCTTGTTTGCATTTCTATCCATGTTAAAACTTTACATTGACTTGCATTAATTTTAGTTGCTGCATTAATGTCTAACCCTGACATTTACGATAATCTTAGTTAATTCACACTGTACCTCTAAACTGACTAAGGTTAAAAATGGGAGTCCATCCCATTAAGACTAGCCTTCAGACCCCATAAGGCCTGTTGGTCCGCAGAAGATAAGCAAATATACCAAAAACGGTCCTAAATGGGCAACAAACACACCCACTCTTCTTGCTATATATAGTGAGGGCCATATGTCGAAGCACATTGATTTTTCAACCCTTTCTAGCCTCAACCCAAAAAAAAAAAAAAAAAAAAAAAAAAAAACCTTTGAGGACCAAACCATATATCTTCACTTTGTAAAAATTCTCACTCCAAAGGTTTGAAAAGGAAACTGGTCCTCACTCTGATTCTAAAACGGGAGCAGACCAATTTACCTAGTAGATACTGTATTAAAGGTGAAATGACGGCTTTCACAGAGCCTTTTCTGATCCGTATCAAGCAGTCTGACATCATTTTTATTTAATGTTCATAAACTAACATGGTAACATCCTGTTTTTATGCAGCTGAACAATACTTGAACTACTGCATCATTACCATGAAAAAGTATTTCCAGTGAAAGGTGTAGATTGGGTACTCTGAACTGCTTCTTCACTAGTTTGACATGCTGTTAAATCATTAATCTGGGCTGCAGCAACAGGGATTGGTTGTGAATTTCAAAATTGGAGTTTCAATCCAATTTCTCTGAACCACTAAAAGTGACCTTTCAGGTATATAAACATTTCTAACTACAATATCAATTTACTTTAGCAAATATAAAAGCTTGACAAACACTGCAATTCTAACATCACTGCAGAAACCGGTTCCAACCAAGCGTATGCACAAACCCAGAGCATTTTCAAAGGCTTAGCTCCGTAAACAGTTTTATGTAACATGCAATGAACCATCAAGGTCACTTCTCATTTTCCTGCTAAGTCGCCTTATGAAGGCAACATTTAAAATGCAAACTTGTAACACTACTCCATTCTGGTAGAAGGTGTTGATTCAAAGTGAAATATTTGGTGGTACTTGGAGTATTAATGTTACCATGTAACTTGAACTTTGCAAGATTGACCTGCAAGTTCCCAGATTAGAGATACCAACTAGTATTTGGTGAGGTGTTGGGACAATTCAGCCCATTAAGCATCTCTAGACTTAAAGGGGAGGGATAGCTCCATTTTAATTGGAAAACCCCACCTAGCCTAATAGTTCAAGTAAACATTAAGGGTCCAAACAGAAGAGGTCAAGTTATGTCACAGTGAAAAAAGGGTCCTGCTGTGTCACCCCAATTTCCAATGAGTCATTGCGCATCAAGGATTGGGCAGCAATAGTAGAAGACTGATGACTTTTTGTGCAAGAATGAACCTTTCGACTCAAATACCTTTCAGATTACAAGTCACTGAACTTTTAGAAGGAACCACCGTTTAAAAAGACTTGTAAACTGGTTTCTGTATGTCCTAGGTTGCCAATTCTCAAGTCAAAACACTAATTTTAAGTTCTGCTGGGATTTTGCTACTTTCCTATGACAGAACCAGTTAGAACATCCATGTTGCTGGTTATAGAGTTCACTTTTGAAAGGGAGGGACAACATCTGGAAAGCTTATGTGAAAGCAGTTTTATTGAAGTTTCAAGTACAAGCAATAGAATGAACAGACTGAACAGTATAAGCCAAGTTTGTTGGTAAGGTACATAACCTCCAAGTATTAACTCAACTGCATGGCCATAAACACTCACTGTGACCTTGTAAGCTGCTGGCGATGTCTTTGTCCAACAGGGTATTGCCAGAGCATAAAGGCATTTTGATCAGGATTGTATGTTGATTGAGATAGAACTTGAAAAGTACTGGAAGGAAGAGAAATAGAAGTTGCCTCTGCCTTTTGCAAGGAATTGAATTTTTGTGGGACATTAGGGCTCTGTCTCTTAGGTTCGTTTTGACATCTACTTACTGGAGGCTGGCAAGGCATTTGCTTGCAAGGCTGAGGTCTTGCACTTTGGTAGAAGTAGGTTGAGTCTTTAAAATTATCTTTATGGCCAGGCATAGAAGATGCAGATCCACACAGAGGTTGTACAGCAAAGGGCACCTCTACAGTGTCCTTCCCTTTCCACTTATTCTGGAAAGCCTGCCCAAAAACAGCACCACTGCCATCCGTATCAATCCTTACATCCTGGTTGGCTCCATGATTCTCTTTTGGAAGTTTATTTTGAGTTTGATACCAAGTGGGCGTATTGTGTGGAGTCTGTACATTTACAAAAGGTGCTTCTCTTACACTATTGTGCCAATAGAGATGAGGGCCATAAACTTGTTTATTCCATTCTTGCGGCTGTTCAACAGGGGAAGCATCTGATTTTAGAGAATTAAAGGCTGAAAGGCCAAAAGCGAGCGGCGGATAATGTGGAACTGAAAGAGTCTCAACATTCCGCATGAGATCACTGGATGGTTGGAATGGATTTCTGTAAACTGTAGAGGCAGGTGATACATTATCTGTAGGTCTAGCATTACCTTTACCATTGCTGCTGGGCTTCTGAGAACTGTGTGAACTTTGAATTCCTTCAGCTCGAGATGGTTT